TGACCTTGGCAGGTCCCTTCCCACCCACACCAGTCCAGGGCTCTGGTTCTATGGCAGTGGTGTCCCGAGGCTCCTGGCAGCGCCAGGGGAGGTGAAAAGCAGTCTCTGTTACTATCAGGTCTCCCTGTGCATCTCAGTGCTGTGCTTCTGAGGAAGCCAAGCAGCAAACCCACACCCCAGTGCCCAGCCATCCCTGCCAGCTGAGCAGGGCACTCCTGGGGGGGTGGGGGGGATTTGGGGGGGGCTGTGCCTGTGTCACCCCTGCTCAGGACGCTGTGTCCGCAGCGCAGGGCCCGCCGGCGGGCGTGCAGAGCTGACAGCCTTCACTGCAAGGGATGAGACAGGACAGGTCAGCAGCAGCAGGGGCAGGCCAGCCCTCCTCATCAGCAGCACGAGCTGGACAGGTTTGGCAAGAAACCTTTTCAATATTTAACCCCTGTTGGAGAAAAGATCAACCTAGGGCTGTTGGTGCTGCCTCACTCGCTACAGAGGCACGTTTCCATCACCAGTGGGGAAGTTCTGGGTTTCTTTCACTTTGCTGGGAGAGTTTGAAGACAAAGTTGTCTATGATGGACCTCAGTGGCTAAAAAGAAATGATTTTTGTAAGTTGTATTGTAATGATACAGCTGTGGGCTAGAGGCTCAGCTTCTAAAAAGAAGATTTCCTCTTTCTTAACTCTCATTCAAGGCCTCGCGTGGTGGTGTAAAACAGATTAAGACACTAAAATATTACTCTTATATTTCTGATAATCTGTATTATATCCATTTTTCTTTCCTCTGTATGAAACAAGGAGCAGAGTGGAAACAAATCCAATTCTAGTAACTAGGGCAGACTGGTCTGTACCTTTGAATTAACAGGGCAATTTCCCCACTTCATTGTCTAGCAGTAAAAATTAGAGAATTTAAACTTGATAGCTTTGAGGATGTGTTGTATTTGTGGCTTATGTGTCTGCCACGTTGCCATTGAGGAGAGCAAAAATGCCCTTTATGCCTTCATAGATTTTATTTCTGAAAATAGTTACAACAGGTTTTTCATAGGGAAAACCTGTTCTGTATTTAACTCCTGTAGGTGAAGGTGGGGAAAGTCTTGAATGTTGTTATTTATAGACAATAAATGAAAGGAATGTGGGTGTCACTAATCCAGCCTTCTCTTTCAGAGGATGAAGACTTCTCAGTGCTTTTAAAAGCTTTAGAAGGTGGGTGTGAAGAGAATGAATCATGCCTGTTCCAAGGGGAATGTTTTTTTTTTCTGCACACTTACAAAGGGTTTTGCTAAAGAGCTTCTGGATTCAGAGGAAAAATGCAGATGTGTTTAGCAGTGCTTTAGAGTCAGAGTTGAAAGACAGAAGTGCAACATCTGGCTTCCATCAGAGCAGTTGTCAGAGGGACATTTCTAACCAGCTGGTAAAGGGCAGTTTTATTTTCTAGGCTGCTACAAACACTCTCCACAGGCTGCTGCTCATAGGCAAGTAGTGACCATGCACTCTCTGATTTTTTTAGACTTTGCAGCTGCAGTTTCTAAGGCAGTGGCTTGAAACAGATGATGCAGTGGAGTCAAACAAAGTCTTAATGAACAGAGCATTTTTAACAGACCATAATTCATTTCTAGACAAGTTGGTCAATTTTAACATTGCTAAATATACTATTTTACTGGGTATATGCTTACAAAGAAATTACCTGAAGCAGGCTGCTGAACAGTTAATACACTGTGACCATTCCTAAACCAAACATTTGTCAACTGATCAGTTTTTTTATCTTCTCCAGGTTATGAGCAATACATCAATGAGGGAGCTGAGCTTCCATCTTTAGTCTGTGTCATAACAGGTGAGGGTTTACTTGTGGTGCAGTTCCTTCAGGGCTGATACAGAAGACTCCATTTCCACTTCTGTCCTGTGCTGTCTCTTCTGTGGATGGTGAAGAGAGAGGAGGGGCTGATGACTTTATGTCTGGTTAAGGGCTGGAGTGTGGCCAGAGAAGGGCAACGAAGCTGGGGAAGGGTCTAGAGCCCAAGTGTGGGGAGGAGCAGCTGAGGGAGCTGGGGGTGCTGAGCCTGGAGCAAAGGAGGCTCAGGGGAGACCTTCTGGCTCTGCACAGCTCCTGACAGGAGCCTGGAGCCAGGGGGGGGTCGGGCTCTGCTCCCAGGGAACAAGGGACAGGACAAGAGGAAACAGCCTCAAGCTGCCCCAGGGGAGGTTTCAGTTGTCCCTGAGGAACAATTTCTTGCCCTGGAGGGTTGCCCAGGGCTGTGCCAGGCTGCCCAGGGCAGTGGTGGAGTCCCCACCCCTGGAGGGGTTTCCAAGCCCTGGAGATGTGGGGTGAGGGACACGGGGCAGTGGGGACCTGGCAGGGGTGGGGGATGGTTGGATCTTCAATGGTCTTGAAGGTCTTCCAACCAAAATGATTCTGTCATTCTGCATTGGTCGCTGATCCTTTTAAATACAGAGTATGAAGCTTGGCTTGGTGGCACTTTCAAGGAGATTTAGTCTTTGTGTCTGTTTTGGGGATTGTGTGGTTTCATTTTTGCTGTACCTGATAGGAATTTCTCAGCTGACACTGACACACTACTCCACACTACTTCCAGTCATCTTGATAAAGAAACAAAAGATTCTTTTGTTGGTTTGAAACAGGTAAAGGTCCTCTGAAAGACTACTACAGCCAGCTGATAAACACACTGCACTTCAGACACATCCAGATCTGCACACCGTGGCTGGAAGCTGAGGATTACCCCCTTCTGCTGGGTAAGTATTGGGTTAGGAAACAGGCTTGAGAATATTTGAGAGGTGGTAGAACCTGGTGAAGGAGTGAGGTTGCTGGTTAGTGACAGGATATTCACAGGTTTGAATCCCCACCAGCAGAATCATTACATGTTTCTCACAACAGCTTCTCCCAAGGAGCAGGTGGTGTAGCTGTGCTTCTGCTTCAGCCCGTGCTTTGTCTTCTGTTTCCTCTAACTGCTGAAGCACAGTGTGCCTGGGCATGTTCTGCTTTCCTCTCAGGGTCACTTCAGTAAATGGAGTCCTAAGGCATCCAAAAGGAGCTGGAATTCTAAATGAACACCCCCTTGGAGCAGCAGTTCCTCAGTGTGTGCCTTGTGTTGGTGTAAAGTGGGAGTAAGCTTCAGGAAGTTATAAAATACATATTCAGCTTCCTCTGTATTCTGTAGGGTTTCAGGCTGCTGGTCTGTATGGCTGTAAACCAGTGGTTATTTGGTATTTTTTAACTAATTAACATAATATCTATAAAATTACTCTGTGATTTAGAAATCACTTGGGCTGGAAGAGGTCACCAGTGAGCCACACAGCACATCCTGTCTGGATCCTGCCAGAGTTCTGTGCATCTACCTGTGCTGAGCAGAGATGAGGAGGCAGAAAGGCTGCCTTAAGAATGTGGGGTTTAAAATTTCCCTTTCATAGAACACATGATTGTAAAATGACAAAAATTCACTTGGGTGGGGTTTTTTTTCCACCCCAGTGCTGGAAGGAGTCACTCAGGAGGATGGTGGAGGTAGCTCCTGTTCCATCTGCATCACCTGAAGCAGGACACAAATAAAAATAAATAGAAAGCTTTACAGTGAGACTGACATGCTGCTCTCAGAGGGCTGAGCCTCTTGTCTGTTCTCTTTGCCTTCCCAGGCTCTGCAGACCTGGGGGTGTGTCTGCACAAGTCCTCGAGTGGTTTGGATTTGCCCATGAAGGTGGTGGATATGTTTGGCTGCTGTTTACCTGTGTGTGCAATCCATTTTGAATGGTAAGAGGCTGCTTGTTCTGGAGGAGGTGGAGTGGAATGTTTTAAATGGTGTTCTCAGAGAGCAGGAGTTCAGCAGCTGCTGCATGTATCAAATGGGATTCCAGTATTATGCCACAGTAGCTTTGTGTTGTTATTCAATAAGATAAGTTAGAAAGGAAGGTGGTTGGATTTTAAACCAAAAAATGAACACTAGTTTCTACAAAGTTGGGAGCACTTCATGCATCCACACCTTTAAAGAATTAACCACCCTGTAATCTTTTCTTTCCATAGACTTCATTTAAACAAAGCTTCCTTCTGCAGAGATGGGTCTGATCAGTGAAGGGGGGAGTGTGTGTAGGCAGCCTTAGGATTTGTGCTCCTTTGGGAAAACAGCCTTTATAAAGCAAGCTAAATTCTCTGTGAAGCTCTCCTGAATGGGATCATGGGCAGGTTTTCCTCCTGGGGTGAGTTTTAAAGCAGATGATTGACCTGCTCTTTAATGTGTGTACAGATGAGTGGCACCAAGACAGAGCCAGGGCCCTTTTGTACTCTAATGGTGGATTTAGTCTGACAGAGAAGAGAGGAACAATCTTTAACAGTTTATAACTGCCTCCTTCATTCTGTTTTGCCAGGTATGAAGCTCCTGTCTATCCACCCAGCATCATGGTGTCACATGTGCCCTGGCACAACCTGTTTGGGTGTCACTGTGCAGATGTTCCAATGCAGGTGTCCCTCTTGCTGCCTTTTCCCTCACATTTTCCCCTCTGGCTTTTGTTCACAGTTTACATGAACTGGTGAAACACGATGAGAATGGGCTGATATTTAGGGACTCCAATGAGCTGGCAGAACAACTAAAGGTAAAAGTTTGATTTTTCTCTCGAGTTAGAGCTGCAGAGGTGCTGCCTTTGAACCCCCTTTCCCTCTCTGACTGTCATCTGTGTGTTTTGTGTTCTCAGGCTCTGCTCAGGGAGTGTTCATTTGCCTCACTGCTATTTCAATGTGAATCTGAAGCTGGCAAGAACATTTTAAGCATTGTCAGTGTTCACCATTTAAAGGGCCAGAGCACTCTCTTGCTGTGGTGGTGTCGTTGGGGGTTAACATGGGAGAGCTTAGGATGAGCCTGAAAATGTGCTGTGATGGTATTTGTTCTGTTTTTCCTTTTCAACTGGCAGATGCTTTTCTTGGGGTTTCCTACCCTGGAGGGCAAACTTCAGCACTTCAGGAGAACCCTTCGTGCCTCCAGGGAGCTGCGCTGGGACGAGAGCTGGGACCAGACTGTGCTCCCCTTGTTTGGGCAGAAGCACTGACTGCACTGGGGGTGTCAAAGAAGCTGAGGCATTCCTAGAGCTGCATCAGTGGATAAACAGTGAATAAACACCTCCTGTTGTCTAGAGTTGGCAGTTTTTAACTCCTTCATCTTGGAACACGTTTGGACACACCTCTTCCTTGTGATCTGGGAGTAAGAGTGGTGCTGAAGGTGTCCTGGCAGTGTGGGTCTAGAGAGGAGATGTGGTTCCTTGTGCTCTAAACTATTATCTGTTGCATCTATTGTACAGTGAGCACTTCAGTAGGTGATTTGGGTCTTGTTTATTGAAAAAGGGAGATACCTTTTATTTAAACTCTTTTGGGGTACAGTGGGGCGTTTATTTTTTCAAGCAGTTAATATTCTTGGCTAGTCTTCCCTCTTGTATGATTTTATTGAGACAGAACCATTTCATTTCAAAGTCATTTTCCTTTTTACAGCGTGTGCAAGAATGGGAAAGAGCAGCCACTGTTTTTTGGCCACTTTGTTGACCACTTGGAGGAAAATGGCCCTTCCAGTGAGCGTTGCCCTCATATGCTGCAGTGAACATGCCTCTACCTCAGGAAAGAATGTAAAATATATCCCTTTTGAACAGATGGGTAGAAAAGGGAAGAAATCAACCCAGAATGTGTGTACAGCTTAATAAAAGGGCACTTCACTGTCTCAGTGTGCACTCAGGGATACCTTTCATCTTTTTATTGTTCATATCAGTACTCACATGCACACTGATGCTGGCAAGATGCTTTTTTTATCACCTTTTTGATTATAAAATAGATGTCAGCCATTTAAGGAATGGATGTGCTTGGGTTTATCATGTGATTACTGCTCTAAAGAGTTCCTTGGTCAGTGGTGGTAGATGGTTAACAACAGTTCCTGACTGAAGAGTGATCTACAAAGGTTTACTTGTTGATTTGATGTATTTTTTTTCCTCCTGCTGTCAAGCAAACTCCTGTCTGGTGGTTTGGCCCTTCCCCTTTAGCCACTGATGTGTAAAATCAGTAAATCAGGAAGTAAGTTAGGCACTTCTCTAATGCCAAAAGCTCTAGAGAGGTTTCATCTTCCTCAAATAAAATTTTTGAGCTCCAAAATGAGCTACCTGTACAGGACTTGAAGAACTTGGTGTAAGAGAAGGTAAAGGAGCTCCAGTGTGGGCTGCTAGATATGTTTGTGAACAGTACCTTTGAATTCTTCCTTCTTGGGGAGAGGGAGATAGAACCTGGGGTGGGGTTACTTCTGCATGTCCCACTTTTAAATAATTTAGAAAACAAATTTATACTTAAATTATAAATCTTAAGTATTTTAAATACTGGCAGTTACAGCTTCAGCTTGAAGAGTGAGATGATTCTTCAAGTGACCTGTCATCCATTTTCTCTCCATTACTACAGGAGGAGGAGGAAAAAGTATTTGTTGGCTTCTAAGTAGCTTTTAACACAAGGTATGAAAAAGGAAGTCAAAAAAGAAGAGGGAGAGCAGCAGATTTGATTTCCTGCTTCAGGCCCAATACTGCCCAACAGGAAAGGGATTAATGGCCTGTGGAAGGTTTCAGAGGTGAGCTCAGTCATTCCTCCGTGCAGTTTACTTAGAGCTTTCCCCAAACTGTTTGTTTTCTGGCCAGTTGGAGAGGATGGCTTCCAAACAGACAGGCTGGAGGGGACAGAAATGTAAACAGGGTCCTGGTTTGTGTCCTGCTTGACAGCACTTTGTTGCCTCCTCTCCCAGCAGCACGTGAGCTTGTGACACTGCTACACTCACTGTAGGTATTACACTTAAGAGGACCCATACTGCAAGTGTATAGAGGTGTAAAAAGAGGAGAAAATTGCAGCTGGTTTTGATATTAAAAAATATTTATTACCCTGAAACAATGATTGTTCCCTTGTCAGGCTGAGCTACTCGTCCTGCAGGATTTATGAATCCAAACACAACTAGGAACCAAAAAACACAGTTCAGTCCTGCAAAGTGCAGCAGACTGGGGCTTTTGGGGTTTTTTTTTCTCTATTGCTTGAGGTTTGCAGATGACTCCACAGGGGCAGCAGGTCAGTTGTGTAGGAAGAGCTGTAACCCACTCTGACAACAGCCTGTGCCTGCAGCTGTACCCTCAGTGCCTCTCCTGTGGGCTTCTGGAATTGAAGGTGCCAGGAAGAGGCAGCTCCTCAAACTCTGTCCCATTTGCCAGGTCTATAGAAATAGCTGTAGGATGGTCACATTTGGCTGCACATCATAAAGAAAACTCCTGTTGCTGTGGGCTGGGATCATCTGCCATCCAATCCCAGCCTCAGCTGCAGGGAGAGACACTGGGAATCATGCCTGCTTCATGGCACCAGGAGCCAAAGCTGCATTTGCAGCTCTGGAGGAGGAGACCTGTAGCCCGGGGTTACAGCAAGCTACAGGCAAAGCCTGAGGAATATTTTAACCATTAACAGTGATGCCAAAACTGTTGATGGGTTTGAAGAAGGCACCTACCAAGCTCAGCCTGGAAGAGGGAATGTGTGTCGGGGTTGCGGACGGTGGAAGCGACGTAGACCTGGGGAGGTTTCCCAGCTGCTCTGCAAGTGGAGAGCTTCTGTAGCACGCCAATAAGGGCCAAAATTATCTCTGGATCATACACCACATCTGCACAGAAAGGAAAACGTGCAGTGTTTATCCAGAGTCAAGCAAGAAGCAGGGTAAAATACAGAACAAAAATAGAATCTGTATGTTAGAGGCTGGCTGCAGAAGACTCGGTTTGACCCGTCGCTGTTTCTCTCCTGGACTCATCCCCTTGGAGAGCAGGAATTGTGCTGGAAGGAAAAACAGATCACTGAGGGGTACAAAACATTGGCCTTGCTTGTCAGCACTGCCACTGGGACCTGCATCACTCATGCTCGGGGCTGATACTCAAGAATTCACTTATTTAACCCATCCCCTGATGCCTTTGAGGATGTATTTTGCCATTTTTCACCCGGGTGCAGTGTATTATGTAAATATTTCACCTGAATTCTTAGGTAATTTTTGCTTTGCAAAGCCTCAAATCAGGGGGTAAAATCCTGTAGCTACAGCAAAGAAATTTTATTGTTAGATTTTTCCATTATTAGTTTTTTTTTTTTATAAAATCCCTCTAGTTTTATATGTAGGCAAATTTCAAAACAGCTTCATGGGTTTAGTTTTTTATCTATTATCCCTCAAAAGCATGCCAAGATTGCCTGCTATTACTGCTGAGGCTCTTAAGAGTGACAGATTCCTCATTTTCTGTTTCTGGATTCCAAGAAAAACAAGCAGAAGGGAAAAATAATTTGCTTTGGACATTATGTATATCTAAAAATGGATGGAATGGTGACAGGACCTGGGGGAGGTTCTGGAGCAGGGCTGAGCGAGTCCTGCAGGCAGCCACCCCCTCCAGCCAGCCTGGCACTGCCCAGCGAGGCCCAAGCAGAGGTGCCACGTACCTGCTGCGATGATGACGTCGGGATGAAGGCCCAGCAGCTGGCTCTCGGTGGCTGAGCCCCAGTCCAGCTCAGCAACCAGTACGTTGGGGCTTGGGCGATTCGCCGCCTCCGCCGGCCGGCCCTGGGGCGGGGCTGGGCTGTGAGGAGGAGGAGGAGTCCCAGGCCCCACCTCCAGGCCGTTCAGGAGGATGTTTTCTGTCAGCTGCCGCAGGACACGGGGGTGGCAGTCACTAAATATGTAAGTTTTGGGACTGCAGGTTTTGCAGATGGCAATTCCCGTGAAGCCAATCCCACTGCCCAGTTCCAGCACTGTCCTGGAGGGGGATGGAGGAACAGGGATGGATCAGGACTCCAGACTGAGATAGGAAATCAAAACATTCTAAGGATATCTAAAGGTAAGGTCAGCTACAGAGAATTTCAGCCATTTTTGAGTAAACCATCTACAATCTGACCTTTGTCTCAAAAAACAGGGAGAGGTGGTAAAAATTAATTACTGTTAAAAATGAATTACTTGAAATGCTGCTGTTGTGTATGGACAGAGCATTTCCACCACAGGGGTGAGAGATATCCCCACCAGGTTTTAGACTGGGGCAGTGTGGGCATCTCCATCCCAAGGGGCTGTCCAGCTCTTTCTGTGCTCAGTGGGGAGAAAGAGGCAGCTCAGCAGCACAGCTCCTTTCCAGGAGAGGCTGGTACTTTATTCAGCTGAATCTTCCCTCCAAACTGCCTCTTCCTCTCAACTGCTTAGAAGCAGAGCCGAGAGGAGGAGCCCAGTTGTTTTCACTTCAAGTTCCTGGCTGGACAGGGTGGTAGCTGAAATTTAACAGCCTGCTTCCCAGAGCAGGTCAGGCTGACTGATCCTAAAACCTCTTTAAAAAGAACTGCCAGGTCCTCTCCAAGTTCAGGTTTGTCTGTTAGAACAAACAAGAGCCAGGAGCAGGGAGGTGTGGTCCTTCCTGGTATTTCTGGGGTAAATACTGTGCATGATGAAGTGGCAGTGGTGCAGCTCCCTCCTTACCTGTCGCTGAGCACCCCGGGGTGCCCCATGGCCCAGGTGGCGAGGTGCAGAGCAGCATCCCACGTCACCAGCCCCGTGGTTCCTCCAGAGACCAGGGCCACGCTCTCAGAGAGGGTGACAGCATCCCCCGTGGGCTGGAGGGGGCACGGGGAGGCAGAGAGCAGAGAATTAGCAAGGTGGGAAAAGGCCTCTAACATCATCAAGTCCAGCTACCAACCCAACACTCCTGTGACCACTAAACCGTGTCCCCAAGTGCCACCACCACATGTTTTTTGAACCCCTCCAGGGATGGTGACTCCAGCCCCTCCCTGGGCAGCCTGGGCCAATCCCTCACCACTCTGCCAGGAGAGAAATTCTTCCTAAGATCCAACTGAAACCTCCCCTGGGGCAACTTCAGCCCATTGCCTCTCATCCTATTGCTGGTGACAGGAGAAGAGCCTGACCCCCACCTCACCCCAACCTCCTGTCAGGGAGCTGTAGAGAGCCAGAAGTTCTCCCCTCAGCCTCCTCTTCTCCAGGCTCAGCACCCCCAGGTCCCTCAGCCACTCCTCACAAGCCATGTTCCCCAGACCCCTCCCCAGCTTCGTTGCCCTTCTCTGGACCCTCTCCAGCCCCTCAAGGTCTTTCTGATCCTGTGACACCCAAACCTGACCCCAGCACTCAAGCTGTGGCCTCCCCAGTGCCCAGCCCAGGGGCACGATCCCTTCCCTGCTCCTGCTGGCCACACTAGTGCTGATCCAGGCCAGGGTGGAGCAGATGGCAGCAGGTTCTACACTTCATAATCCTGCAAAAAAATCTTGAGCACTCCGCGTCTCTGGCGGGGTTACTTTTAAAGCCAATTATCTCTTAGCTGAGATGATTAAAAGGGATCTGTAACAACTCTGGTGTTAGTTCTCACCAGTAAGTAGTTTTTGTAGCAACGAGTAGATTCTTCCTCATTTAGGATCCCTGCCAGAGCATCATAGAGCTCATCCAGGGGCTCGGCAGCTGTGGATTCATGCTGTGACAGAGAGGACAGTTTCAGGCACCAGATTGTCATCAAAGAGAAAACATACCCACAGGAAACCCCACTTAAAGCATCATCAGCTGTTAATTTTTACACCAAAGGCTATTTTTGGTTAATAGAAACCATTCAGCTTGGCCCCCAGTGTAAAACAGGCAGATTGCTGAGGGAGGGTTGCACCCGAGGGGTAAAAATGAGGCGCTACCTGTTTGATGAGCTGGGTTAGGAAGCGTCGCCGGTACTCGGTGGACGGGGGATACTTAACACAGAGAGGGTGGAGGATGGTCTGAAACAACAGAAGAGCAGCCGCTGAAACCAGACACCACGGGAAGGTTTGGGGAAGGCACAGAGGACGGCAGGGAGCTGGTGACTGGCTCTTCAGAGAGCCACGGTGGTTCAGGCTGCGGCGAGAAGGGGTGACGCTGAGCTAGAGAGTGAAACCGGGCATTTTCGGATCAGTTTGTTAGTTCACAGATCTGCTGCAGCCAATGTGGGGTTTGCTTTTCAGAAGGGGATCACTGGGAGGATCACTGGGAGCTCCGGGATCTCCTCCCTCCCGCCCCGGGACGGGCCCCGCTGGGCTGACAGGCTCCGGGCACCAGGCACCCGTGCTCGGGCACGTGGGTCTCAGTTTTGAGGCTAAGAACAGCTAAATAACAGGTCGAGAGGGAAATCTGCCGTTCTGCTGGGCCGAGGGACAAACTGCGCCCCAAAGTCACTTCTCTGTCGCCATCAGCTCGGGAATTAATC